TATATATATATATATAAACATATACGTGCACATACACCTAGAAAAACACGCATACAGGCATAGCTACACATGTAAGCACATAGATGCACAGAGACATAAAAGCCAACATATACACATGGACACATAAGAAGCGAACATGTACACTTATGCGTACGTACATATAACTTTGCACATAGATACACGTATGTTAACATATCTATACATACATACATGTCAATGTGCACGCGTACATAAAAACATATATATGTATATATGAGCCCGATACCTTTAGGTACTATTCAACTGGAGTTTTTATATGCATAGCTCATATTAGTGTTCAACATGACATCTGGATTTAAATAGTTGAGCAGTATCATGCCGAAATGTTTATGTGTCCGTTCGATATTATATTACAATTGAATAGATAAATGATACTAATGAGCCATGATACTGCTCGTACAGATACATGGGATGAGGGCTTTGTACAGATAATTCCAACATGCCATGTGGATGTTGGCAAACTATCAATCAGTTGCATGCGTGTGCATCATCATGTAGGATAGCATCTCGGGGGGAGAGAGAGAGAGAGAGAGAGAGAGAGAGAGAAGTCGACCCCCGGCAAGGGGACGGGCACCCACGTTGTCTCCACCCGTGAGGGTTAAGACGCAAGTGGGGCATGGCGCTCCGAAAACGTCATGGCACCCATGCGAGGCTTATGATAGCATCTCATATCTCGGCACGGGTGTGCAAGACACATGTCAGCGGAAACACACTTGTGATGCTTGCCTAGTGCAAAGACATCAATGTTTCAGTCCTATTATACTTAGTGTTTGGTATTTGACACAATGGTACTTTGTGTCTCAGCACATGTCAACAGGAATACATCTCCAATGTTTTCCTCTTGAAACCACTTCGTTGTTTCGGTCATCGGATATTTGGCGCAGTCATGCACAATCGTATCTCTTACCTCGGCACGGGTGTGCAATACACCTGTGAATGGCTAAAACTAAGTTTCTCTCTGCAAAAGTTCTGTGTTAGCTTTCTTGCCGTAA